GGAGGGGAGCGGGGGTGGAGGGAGAGGAAAGGAGTGACAGCACCACAGCCAATCGGAAGGAGGACATAGCCTTGTTAACTTGAGCCATTTTTTCAATGAATTTACTCCGTGCAGGCACAGAGTAAATTCATTGAAAAAAAAAGGGGGGGAGGCTGCAAGGCTGGTGGCGGCTCCGCGGGCCATCAGTCGAGGTCTGGCGGGCCGGATTTGGCCTGCGGGCCTTGTTTTTGACACCTGTGCCATAGAGAAATAATTCATAGTCCTTAGGAAAAAGCCCATAAGTCCAAGGGTAATCCAGTATAGTACAAAGATCAGTCCAGGTAAAGGTTAGTCCCGTGTGTCACAAATGACTGAAGAGTCGGTCTTGAAAGACAATGTCCATAGGCAAAAAGTTCCTTTTTCAAGAGTAACTGGCAAGGGCTTATCGCACCTTCCCACGATGTCATCCAATCAGAGTTCGTTACTAGGCAAACAGTCCTGTTGCACCACATGACTTCATTCCCATACACACCAGATGTTATTTGGGTACTGTGGTTTAGCAAAGAGTCACAACAATTTCCATCTATCTAATCAGTCCAAGTTCTTTCTCAGGTTCTCAGAATAACATTCTCTCTGCTCGCCTAGAAACAACCTGTGAGCATAGCATAGATACTTTATACAAAGAAACAAGATGGAACCTCTCTTGCTCAATTTCTTAATTACAAACCCTATATTCCTTACAATAATTCAATTCAAAAACCCATCTCATCACAAGTAGGAGGCAATTTTTTGCCACATAACAAACACAACATTTCCAAAGTTCCATATTCAAACCATCAGGTGTGATCAGATGTGGAAACACATTTTGAGAAACAAGATGGAACCTCTCTTGCTCAATTTCTTAATTACAAACCCTATATTCCTTACAAGATTTTAATTCAAAAACCCATCTCATCACAAGTAGGAGGCAATTTTTTGCCACATAACAAACACAACATTTCCAAAGTTCCATATTCAAACCATCAGGTGTGATCAGATGTGGAAATAGCTCACATTTTGAACTGCTTGTGGCACAAACTGGTGTGATCAAATGTACGTGAGATCATAAACCAGCTGGCCTCAGATCCATGCCCATGCTGGGTCCAGTAGCAGAGCTACTCTTTTTTTGGAGCCGGTTGATTCCTCCATGGAGCGAGGAATTGCTTTAATGGAGATCACTCTCAGCAAAGCAACCCTTTCTGGTGTAATCAAACATGATCCTTTCACATCATCTGATTGCATCCTTAGTTACTTTTTTTCTAATTTCTTATCTTAATATTGTAAGTTGTTGCTTAAATGTTAGTCTCCAACATAGGGACTGCTGCTACAGGCAACTTTATGGTATTAAGAGTAGAGTGTACTATCTTTTTACAGCAGTTCTGGGATCAAAGAGCAAAACAAACAAGTTGGAATGAATTGAACAAGCCAGAACTGAGGAATAATAGTATGTGTTATGACACAACACTGGCAAAGTTCTGTTCTATTCTTCAGCGTTTACGTAGCGATTGCTCATTCTGCTTGGTGGTGTCTTATAGCCTACAACTGAGCAGAATGAGCAAGCTGACATGGTTTAGCAATCTGTGATCTGAAAGTTTATCTACTAGTATATTTCTTAAACTCCCTGAACTTTGTTTTATTAAGACAAATATTTTATGAGGATTGAGAGCAAATCTGGTGGAACTCTATTTTTTCTTCTTATATGTGTTTTGACTTCCTGACATACTAGACCCCCACAGGAGTACTGCGGCAAGAAAGTTCAGATTTACAGTGGCTCATAAGACTCCGTTGTCCAAGAACTCAAATGGAGCAGATACCACATCTAAAACAGGTGAGTGACTTAATGTTTAGGGTGGAAGTACATGTTGTTCCTGTGCAGTGTCACAAAATGTGATAGACTGCCTGCTTCACATTTTGTTTTAATTTGATCATTTTCAAAAAATTATATATAAAACCATAGTAAGGGCAACTCAGTTTAATGCATGTAGAATAGTTAGTTATAGATATCTAGATCCTTTTTATATCAAGTATTCTGTCTTAATCCTAGTCCAAGCATAATTCTTCAGAAGGTTGATCATCTTATTTTAGAACTGCAGAGCTGGAAGGGACCCTATGGACCACACTGTCCAGCTCCTTGACAGGGGCTGGACTCTATGATCCATAGAGCCCCTTCCAGCTTTACAGTTCTGCAATAAGTTGACTATCCATGTATGCTGCTTACCATTTACAAGGACTTCTCAATTTTCTAGAAACACATTAAAGGAATTATGTATCATTTATTTATTGCCAGGTAGGAACAGAATCGAGTTCAGGATGCAGTGTTTCACGCTTTGCTGTAATTTTTGGAGTGAATGGTGAGACAAACATAGGCTCCTTCTGTATGCAGATGTGGCATTCAGGATAAGTTATATAGATGGACCATTCACTATGAACCCCCTCTTTGTGTAACAAAAAAAAAGTATTATAGCACATTAAAGACTAACAGATTTATTTCAGTGTGAGATTTCAATGGACTGCCTCAGTTGAAGTTCACACAGAACTAAATGTGTTAAGGTATTACACACTTGTATTTTTGTTTTGTTCTATGTATATGCTGAAACAGACTAACGTAAGTACCTCTTCAACCCCTGTCCTATAAGTGTCTTCCAGCAGCCTCTTCATCCTTGAGCAGATCACCAAGCAAGACCTGTCAAAGTAGTCCATCTGAGAGAGCTAAGACTTCAGAGAGCTGGCTAACACCAAAGCATTTTTCTGTTGTACAGGTAGAGGTTCAGGAGCTTGAGACAATCTGAAATCAGTGCTGGCAATATGCTACTAAAGCTGTGGGAGAAGCTTTATGTATGGGAGAAACTACCAATCTAATGATTTCCTTAGGCATGAGAATGAAAAAAGTTATACATTTCAAAAGGACTCAGTAATTTCATTGTTCCAGAGTCATTCATTCTTTGAGTTCCATCTCCATGCAGTTTATTGAATAGGAGATTTATTTTTAGAAGAAACTTAATTCCTGTTTGCTCTGTATGTGTATTTTTATATTGCAATTGCATTTTAGTTATTTTGTACAATTGAAATTAAATAATATTTTACACCTGTCAATAATTTGTGCAAGCTAGCAAAGCTGTGGGGCTGTTGGAAGACTGCACCCCTGCCTTCCCTTAGGATTGCTCTGTTAATTATCTAGTTCAGTAAAATCAGGTTTGCCTGAATAATGTTAATGGTATTATTTTTTTTAAACAAACCCTTACTTTGATCCTGATGATTCTGTGTATTTGTAGATATTTTCATTCTTCTGACTATCTCTAGTTTCATTGGTGCAGTTTTTCTTACACTAGCCCACTTATATATATATTTAGCATGCATAGGGCAGTATTCCTCCAAGGAATTATACTGATTTGTACTGAAATATAAAATAATTGAGACTTGAGATTATAGAATTATCATAGAATAATTAAGTTGGAAAGGGCCTATAAGGCCATCGAGTCCAACCCCTGCTCAGTGAAAGAAACCAAGTCAAAGCCGATCTGACAGATGGTTGTCCAGTTTTCTCTTGATTGCCTCCAGTGTTGCAGTGCTTGCCATTTCCAAAGGTTCCATTGTCATGCTGTTCTAACAGTTAAAAACTTTTGTCTGATATTCAGCTTACATCTGGCTTCCTGTAACTTGAGCCCCATTATTGTGTGTCCTGCACTCTGGGATGATCAAGAACTGATGCTGCCCTTCCTCTATATAATTACCTTTAAAGTATTTGAAAAGTGCTATCATATCTCCCCTCAGTCTTCTTTTCTCAAGGCTAAGCATATCAGATATTTCAGTCTTTCCTCATAGGGCTTGGCTGCCAGTCCCCTGATCATCCCCATTGCCTTCCTCTGAACTTGCTCCAGTCTGTTGGCATCCTTCTTAAAGTATGGCATTCAGAATTGGACACAGTACTCTAAATGAGACCAAATAAATGCTGAATAGAGGGAAAACAATACCTCACAGGATTTGAAGACTATACTTCTATTAGTGCATCCTAAAATAGCATTTACTACATCACACTGTAAGTTCATATTCAGCTTTTGATCTGAAATAATTCCAACATCTTTCTCACAGTAATACGAGTAAGAAAGCCAAGTAGTAATAAGTATTAAGCCAAGTTTCCCCCATCTTGTAACTGTGCATTTGGTATTCCCACCCCGGTGTAGAATTTTGCACTTATCCCTGTTAAATTTCATTCTGCTATTTTGTGTCATTTGTAAATCTGATAAGTATTCCCTGCACTCCCTCATCCAAGTCCATTGATAAGCTGCCGAGAGCACTAATGGAAGTAGGATACAAATGCAACAAACAAACAAATAGTATCTGAGTATGATTCTCTAACCAACTGTGGATCCACCTGATAGTTGTTCTATCCAGCTCACAGCTAGTTAGTTTGCTAATCGGAATATCATGTGACACTTTGTCAAAGACTTTGCTGAAGTCAAGATATATCTACAGCATTCCCACCATCTACGAGGGAGATTAGCCAATAAAAAAACTAGATGAGATTTAGTCTAGCAGGATTTGTTCTTGACAAATCCATTATGGCTTCTAATTATTACTGCATTGTTTCCAAGGTGCTTGCACGGCAACTGTTTTATAATCTGCTCCAGAATTTTCCCTGGGATTGATGCCAGGCTGATCAATCTGTAGTTCCTTGGTTCCTCTTTTTGCCCTGTTTGAAGTCTGAGGATTAGCTCTCCTCCAATCATCTGGTACTTCGCGCATCCTTCAGGATTTCAAGAAAATAATAGACATTGCTTTTGCAATATCTTCAACCAGTTCCTTCAATATCCTTAGATGCAGTTCACCTGACCTTGGGGATTTGAATTCATTTTAAATAGTAAGGTACTCTTTTATTATTGGTTTATCAGTCTCAAGCTGCAATCCTATCCCCTCTCCCTGTACTTCATCTTTGCCTACAGGAGTATAGACTGTCTTTTGGGAGAGGATTGAGCTAAAGTAGGAACTGAGCACGTCTGCATTTTCTTTGTTGTCTGTTAGCATTTTCCCATCCCCACTGAATAAATGAGCCAGTTTCTTTTTTCTGTCTTTTGCCATGCATGTACCTGAATGATGTTTTTGTTGCTTTTAGCATCTCTTGTTAACTTCAGCTCATTCTCAGATTTTGCCTTCCGAACACCATCCTTGACATTCTTTGCTACTTGTCTGTACTCTTCCTTTGTAGCCTTCCTTCCTTCCACTTCCTATATGTGTCCTTTTTTGTTTCCAGGTCTTCTCCAAGCTTTTTGTGAAGTCACATTGGTATTTTTTGCTGTCTTCCATCTTTTTTTCCTTGTTGGAATTGTCTGTAGTTGTGGCTTTAGAATTTCTTTTTTTTAAAAGAAACTTCCACCCATTTTAGACTCCTTTTCCTGTTAAGAATTTCCTGCCATGGGATCTTACCTATTGTTGTTCTGAGTTTATTGAAATTGTCTTTCCCAAAGTCCAGCGTGTATGTACAGCTACACTCTGCTTTTGTTTCTTTTGAAATCTAGAACATGGTCACTTTCCCCCAGAGTTGCTGCCGTTTTTTCCACCAAGTCATCTCTGTTGGTTACGATCAAGTCAAGGATAGCTACTCCTTTGATTTCTTCCTCCATTTTTTGTAGGAGAAAATTATCATCTGCACAAGCCAGGAATTTCTTGGAAGGGGTATACTTAGCAGAATTAGTCTCTCAACAGTATTCATGATAATTGATGTCTCACATTACTATCATGTTTCTTTGAAATTCTTGCAGTTTTGTTTTTCCAGTTTCCTCTGCATCTTCTTCTTGATTGGGCAGTTGGTGGTACTCCATCTCTCTATTCTTTGTTCTTTTTGAACAATTTATTTTCTTCAATTGCTGTATTCCAGTCATGGGAAACATCCCACCAAGTTTCAGTGATTCCTATCAAGTCATATTTACCCTCTTAAATGAAGAATTCTAATTCTTTTTGTTTGCTTTTCACACTCCTGTCATTCGTGTATAGACACCAGAGACTGTATGATTTGTGGCATGCTTTATTTCCTCCACTGCTTGGTGTTGCTGTTCTTCCACCTCCAGTGCGCTCCATGACTGCTGCTGCTGAAGAGTTCTATTTATGTACTCTTCATCTTCTCTTACAACCTTATGTCTGGCCATTCATTCCTCCAGTCCTTTCACTTTTTCTTCTAAAAGTGCTATCAATTTGCACTTGCTGCATGCATATGCTGTGCACAAACCTTGCAGGTCACTTTCACTGAAGTGTGCCTTCTCTCCATAATCCCTGTTTATGTTTGGGTTCTTCTGTTTGTCTATGAGTGACATTTCCTTTATCATATCTTTTTGTTGGGAAAGTCCAGTAATATATAACTATATACAGAGCCAAATTATTAAAAATTATGGACTTCATCACTGCAGTATCTGCAGTGTGTGTGTGTTTGTGTGTGTGTGTGTCTGTCTGTCTGTCTGTCTCTCTCTCTCTCTCTGTGTATGCACACACACACACACACACACACACACACAAACACACACACAAAGGCAGTGGTAAGTGAAAATAGTATTTTCTTTTAATCTTTTACACAGCAAAATTGGCACTTTTGTCCTTAATTTATTACATTGCAATTTTGGTTCAGTTTGGTTTAACGATTCAACATAGCACAAAATTGCATCAACGCAAACTTCATTATGGACAAATAAAGCTTTTAAATTATGATTATTTTGAGCTCCTTCGTATTGGTCATGGAACATACTTATCCTATAAAGCTGATCTGCTTGTAAAACTAATTGTATGTTAATATATATAGTATCCAACTTTTGTCTGGTTTACAGATTTTGTTGATATTTTATTAGGCTATAGTAAATGAAAGCCAGGATATTTGTTCCACCCTGTCCCTGTTGGAAAGAGAAAACTGCTTTGTAAGGGTAAGAAACAAAATGTAATGGCTCTTTGCAGAATCTCTTTATTATTATTAAGAAATGATCTGAATAAGTTTTAGGCCTTCAACAATGGTTGTTCTATGTCAAATACCATTTCTTTTCATAATTTTTGACAAGATTTTTTTTCTTTGTTAGCACCATTATAAATGTGGAACACATTCACTTGCAACGGAATCTACTGTGAGAGAAGCCAGGCACAATGTTAAACGAATGTAGGCATTTATCCTGCTTGCTTTTTATTAGCCAAAATCCTGTTCTGCAACTACACATGTGCAACTTGAGGTTGTAACTGCAGTAGTTGCAATAGCACCAAGGCAGAAGTGCTGTCCATGGATCACTTTTGTTGGCACATTGCGCTGTTGGTTATACTGGAAATGTGTGACCAATTGTGCAATTGAATAGCACAATTTTTTGTTGCAAAGTGTCACGCCCCACATATGTACGCTGTTGTAAGATTATATTGTGCTGAACAGGATTTTTTAAAATATATCAGCCTAAGCAAGTGGGGAAGTTTCCCAGTCAAGGACTAAGAGGAGCTTGAGGGAGCTATTTCTGTCAGAACCACAGTGTGGGAGTAAGGATTAAAGCTCTCCTTATATTGCAATTTCAATCTCACTTGTTAAAAAACAAAAATCAGTCATGTTCAAGAAGTCTTGTGGACCCTTAAAGACTAGCAAATTTTGTTTTCTACAAGCTTTAGCGAACCAAAACTGAGTTTATCAGATGTACAAAGTGTTGGTTGAGTAGACACATTAGTCTGTACATCTTTGGATGAGTGAATGAGGTATGACGACATAGAGATGCAAACTTTTCTGTATCACATGGTGGAACTTAAATTGCGTTTGCCATTCACACAGAAATGTTAATTATCCCCGGAAGGTGTGTCTCAAGTGTCCACATATCGCTTCTTCAGTCTTACCTTTCTCTGCCAGTATCAGTATCGTCTTAGCTATGCCTTTTGCTTGCATTCAGGTCCTTTCTTTTTTAAAAAAAATATGTTTAGGAAGTGAAATAGTGCTGAACTGACAAGACATAATAAGCATTTGAATTAGTGTTGTATCAGTTTAGTACTGTTGCTAAATATTTTAAATATATATTTTTAAATGCAATTTATTTCTTTAAAATATTTTTATCCTGCTTTTCTCCTTAAAATGACCCAAGTTGTATTGCAGTTGTAGCATTTCTTGGTGTCAACAGAAAGCATGCAAAAGCAATAGGGTTTGCTCTCATACCATGCCTCACTCTGTGTATCATCAATTATATCATCTGGACATGGTCAATGACTGCTCAAAAGAACCAGTATAAAGGATTACACAATTTGAAAGCAAATAGGAAACAATACAAAACCCACAGATTTTGCTTGCTGAACAAAATATACCACGTACTCATGTCAAAAGATCAGATCTGCTCAAGATTAATGCTAATTATCATGTAGCTGACAGGATAAGTACCAAAAGGAACAGTGAGAAACACAGCACTAGCAGGGAGATAAATACCTGTTTGATTGCTCTGTTGGGATTGTAATTAGTGAGGATATAGAAAACAAATGCAAATAAGTACACAATAGTCATTAACAAATAGAGTTTGGATGCTTATATGCAATGGACTGACATGGCAAATAACTTTGAAATTGCTAAAGGTTTACAGGCATTTGCCATCTCATCTATTTTCGCCTGTTAATAAACTTGGTCAACAAGTGTTTTTTTTTTTTTTTTTTTTTTTTTTTTTGCCAAGCTTGGAAATGTCATTAGTGTTACTTTAACACTTCCACAGCACAATAAAAAAGTGACTTGGCAGTATTTTGTGATCTTAGTGTAGAAAGTCTAATGAATTGTGGGATATGGGCAGAGTTGGGATTCAGGATCACTGAGGGCTTAGGGTTTCGTATACACTTCCTGTATTTCCTGATCACAATGTGAATTCCATCACCTGCTTTAATGGGCCAATAAAGTGATAATAACTGGAGTACATCACTTCTGTTTCATTGCACCATAATTTGCTGAAAAATGATGAGATACATTTTTATCCCATTACACTACATTGAAACAAGGGCACTGTAATGTCCCAAAAAGAAAGGTTACTTACCTGTAACCATGGTTCTTTGAGTGGTACTATGTGAATTTACACAAATGGGTTAAAATGCGCCTGCGCAGGACTCTTCGGAATATTCTAGAGCTAATAAACTGACCAATAAAACATCTACCCATGTTGCGCATGCTCTGCCCGGCCGCGGTACCTCAGTTTCGAATGTCTTCCACTGCCAATATTATAAAAATTAAAAGTTAAAAGGCAGACCGTGATGGACAGTGGGGAGGCTGGGCGGGTCGTGTGAGTTCACAGAGTACCACTCGAAGAACCATGGTTACAGGTAAGTAACCTCTCTCTTCTTCGTGGTCTCTGTGAGTGCACATGAATGGGTGACCAGCAAGCTCCCTTACCGGAAGGAGGGCCATCACGGAAATAATGAAGTCAGCACAGCCCTTCCAAAATTTGCCTCCTTTTTGGCTCTGACGTTCAGTCTGTAATACAAAACAAAGGTCATTGGTGTGGACCAAGTCACTGACTGACAGATGACAGAAAGTTCGATGCCATGCAGCCAAGCAATGGAGGTAGCCATGGCTCTAGTGGAATGAGCCTTCAGCACATCTGGCGGAGTCCTGCCAGCTAACTGATAGGCTAACGCAATGGCAGAAACTATCTGGACACAGATTGAGAGAAAGCTGGGTGACCTTTCTTGAGTCCACGGCAACAGACAAACAGTCTAGGAGATTTACGAAGTCTTTAGTCCTAGAAACATAGAAAGTCAAAGCTTGTCGAACATCAAGGGAGTGGAGCATGCACTGAACATCTGAAGATGGATTAGGAAATAATGTTGAGAGAATCAAGGGCTGATTAACATACAAATTCAAAGTCACCTTAGGGAGGAATGAAACATCAGGGCATAAGACAACCTTATCAGGGTGGAACTGTATATAGAGCGAATCAGCCTGTAACAGAGCCAGCTCACTTGTTCTCCACGCTGCTCTGATAACCACCTAAAAACAAAGTCTTTAGTGACAGAAGTTTCAAAGAAGTACAGGCCATAGGTTTGAATGGAGGCATGAGAGAGCCTTCAACAGTCTGTAGCGACCATTAAGAAATTTGTTTCCTGATGGAGGATGAATATTGTGTAGTCCCCATAGGAATCTCTTAGCAATAGGGTGAGAGAATAAGTGGGAAGCATGCAAACCCACAGGATGATATGAAACAATGGCTGACACATACACTGTGTGGAATGTGCCAGACCCATATCAAACAATGCAGGAAAGTAAGGAGGGTCCTTACAGAAACTGGAACCGTGACCAGACCTCTGGTCTCTGCAAAGTTGGTAAATGTCGTCCACTTATAAGAGTATAGTAGTTTGGTTGAAGGCTTTCTAGCCCATTCAGGCACTTCTCTTATAGAGGGAGAATCCTCCACACTGTGAGGTGGAGATTTGATATCTGGGTGACAAGACGTTGCCTCCTTCCTGAGTCACGAGTGATGGTTGGAGAGGCAGTCTCAGGTAATCTGTTGCAATCTTCTTGAGGTTGGTAAACCACGACTGTCGGGGTCACCACGGAGCCACCAAGATGGCATCCGTCCGCAACTGAAGAATTTGACAATTGTCCTTTGAATTAGTGGGATGGGGGAAAGAAATAGAAGAACCCCATCCCATTTCACTATAAAGGCATCTTCCGTGGAGCCTTCGTCTCTCCCTACCCGAGAGCAAAACCGATCGCACATTGTGTTGAGCCAGTTGGCAAAGATGTCAATAGCTGGTGTGCCCCACTGTCTGCATATCTGGACGAGCACAGAGTTGTCGAGTTCCCATTCGTGCATCTGAGTGGTCAGATGGCTCAAGCAGCCGGCCACATCATTGTCTTCTGTTGCCACATGGATGATGATGGGAAATATGTGGTGGTCATAACACCACTCCCATAGGTGGACTGCTAAGCATAGGAGAGACGAGTGAGGGCCTCCCTGCTTGTTTAGGTAGTACAGAGTGGTCATGTTGTCTGTAGCCGCCTTTACTTCGTGACCGACCACCAACAGATAGAAAGCGCGTAGGGCCTTGATTACTGCTAGCATTTCCAGATGATTAATAAGCAACAGCATCTCTGAATTGGACCACACAGTGTGGATCTTGTGAGCGCCACAGTGTGCACCCTATCCTCTTGTGCTGGCATCTGTCATGACCTGAACAGATAGTTGAAGAGATCTAAATGGTCGACCAATCAGAAGATGCGGCCCAAGCATCCACCATGTTGGCTGATGAGATAACTCGGGTGTGACCCGTATATGTTTGGCGGGGTGGTCCCGTAGTGGGTTGAACTGAATGAGATACCATGCAGTGAACACATCTTCAACTGAGCACGAGGAAGAGCAGACGTGGTGGAAGCCATAAGGCCCAGAAGATGTTGTGTGTGATGGGCTGACACCCTGGTGTCTGGATGAAATGGGTGAATATCACGTGGTAGCTTGATAATCCTCTTGGCAGGGAGGAAGACTCTGGTCCTGTTGGAGTCCAAAACTGTACCGATGTAGTTCGCAACTTGAGACAGTTGAAGATGGGATTTCACAAAATTGACTTGAAGTCCTAGGTCTGCCAGAGTTTGTAACACAAAGGTTGTGTCTTTCTGTGCCTTGGCGCAAGAGTTTGCTACAATCAGCCATTTGTCTATGTACAAAAAGACCATGATGTTGTTTAAAGTGTGGGCTTAGTTAACTTTTTACACTGCTGGCACAAAATAGGTTGATGCCTTTCCCCCAAGCAAAACAAAACAATGGTCATGTCCATCTGAGAATTGGATTTTACCGGAACACGACACACAATGTTTGAAATGGCCCGAAGAGGCCATAAAATTTGGCAGGAAAGTTGGCGAAGGAGAATGAAGAGAGAAGCACGGGAAAACGTAGTCCAATAACAGTCCAGATCAATCCAATAAATCAAGCCGAGAGAAATCAACCAAGTCCAATCCGCAATCCAAATCAGAATCCGTAAACGGTCCAAGGGACAAGGGAGATATATCAGTCAGCCGAATCACAAAACAATAATCGAAAATCAGGTCAGTCCATGTCAAAATATCCAGATAAGCTAAGACGTAGTGAAGAAACAGTCTGAGATAAAAAAGCCAAAGATTTCAAAGAATTATAAAGAATTGACAGCTCTAGCAATGCGAAGAATTCCTATTGCGGCAGCGGCAAAAAGGAAGTGAGGTACTGCGGGCAGGCGGAGCATGCACAGCACGGGTAAACGTTTTATTGGTCATGGTTGTTGTGGGTTTTTCGGGCTCTTTGGCCGTGTTCTGAAGGTTGTTCTTCCTAACATTTTTCCAGTCTCTGTGGCCAGCATCTTCAGAGGACAGCACCAGAGCACAGAGTGCTGTCCTCTGAAGATGCCGGCCACAGAGACTGGTGAAACGTTAAGAAGAACAACCTTCAGAACACGGCCAAAGAGCCTGAAAAACCCACAACAAACATTAGATCCCGGCCGTGAAAGCCTTCGCGTTTTATTGGTCACTTTATTAGCTCTAGAATATTCTGAAGAGTCCTGCACAGGCGCAGTTTAACCTATTTGTGTGCATTCACAGAGACCACGAAGAAGTGGTAGATTTGTTGGACTCCCTTTTTTTGTCTTGGTGTTTTTATGTTCATAAAACCAAACATGTATGTGGTAAATGGCTAAAATTGAAGGCAGTTGTTTTTACAGTTGTTTTTGATATCATATCAAAAGGTCTATTGTTTAGAACTATGTAATTCTGTATGAATTCTGAACCCTAAATGTTGCAAGTAATTTATCCACTTTGCTCTGTCTTCTAAATGTAATACTTTGTAGTATTAATGATGCATTATATATTAGATTCTGCCCTGATAGCAATGCAAATAGGCTACACATTTTATTCAAAGTGTCATTTCTGTGTGAAGTTTTCTTGTGTTTTTTCTAACTTAATTACCTTCCCCTTCCTCTTTTAGTGTCCTTCCTCTGCCTCCTTTCAAAGTGCCTAATTATATTAATTAGCTATATTAACAATAACCTCTTTGTCAATTAGGAAGTAGACAAGTATTTGAAGTACCATGATTTCTTAGCTCTCAGGAAGAGGGAAATGCAGTACAAGAAATGGTTTGAGAATGTTTCAAGACCACTACTACAGAAAATTCAGGACAAAATTGACAGCCAGTCAAGTGAAGAAGTAGAGGAAAGGAAGCGAAAACAGCTCTCCCTCTACTTAGACTACTGTAATAAGAAGGTATTAGTTAAAAAGGAGTTTATTTATTACTGAGAAGCATTTGGAGGGCTGTTAGTAACTTGTTGGTTCTTCGTTCTTTGATGAAAGTTAGGACCAGCATTTGCTTTCCACTGGATTTGTAATTTTACTAGCAAAAATTTACATTGCTCATAGCTTAAGCTGTTACTAGTTGACTTTGAAAATGTTTACATACACATGTATAGAAATGTATGTGTATAAGAAAATAATATTTTTATTTTGCCAGCTATAAATTAAATGACTCCGAACTCCATTTACTCTGTTAACCAAGTCATTTTTACCTCAGTGGGTAAAATGATAATGCAAGATATTTTGAAAAGGGTCCAGGCAGGTGAGTGGATGAATGGAGACCAAGGCTGTGTTCTTTCTTTCATCCTAGTTGGGGAGCACGATGAGTGCTGTTTATGTTCTGATAATCCATGCAAGGGCTGGTCCATTTGAACAAAAAAATTTCAGCATTATCTGGGTTTGAAAAAACAACTTTAAAGGCTATATTGCCATTTATTTATCAAATGAGAAACTCTTTTGTTTTTATTTTATTACACACACATTAAGATGCTGAAACACAACAGTGTGGAGTACTATGCCAGGTTCCTTGGCAACCTGCTCTTGTCTCATTCACTTTCTTCTGTTGGCAGTGGAGAAGATAGGGGCTTTCAGGGGGTTGCTTCTTCCCTGCCAGTCGGTTGCCATCTGCAAATGTTCCAGGCCGAGACTGGGACATAACTACCATGCTTGTCCTTGTTGTAGGTATGTGTGATTGGTAGAGGAGAGGCTGTGGCATCATTCCCCCCTTCCCATTTATTAATAGTTAAAGTTAAAAATTGTTTTGCCATTTATATATATTTCACCATCTGTTAACAGAATTCTGAAATTTAATTTTGGGTCATGAATTAATTAATTAATTAATAATTAGACCATTTATGTGCCAAATAACTCAATGCACAAAATTATAAAAGTGGGTATGAAGACAGCAAACTGCCTATGAAGAATTGGAAGAGAAACCCACATACTTATAGAAAATGAGAGGGGAGGTTAGTGTGCATGCAGAGCAAACAGTTGGATTATAGAATCTAATTTGTTGCCTCAATGAAATGCATGGAACTGGATAAGAAAAGTATGAAAGAAAAAGTCAAATCATTCTGCCTTCAACCAGTGGATAGATAGTTGAACTTAAAATCTGAAGACTCAGGCTCAAGTCGATTCATATAACTTTGCACTAAATCCTCAGCAACCCATGTGTAAAATAGGAATGACTCTGACTTGCCTCATAGGGATGTTGTGAGGGTTTAAAGTGTAGTTTTTTCTAATATTAATATTTAGGAATCAAGATTGTAGTTAGCATGTAGCAACACACAAATGGCAGAGATTAGATACAATGAGTGTGTAGCACTTATGAGGCAGACATCCAGGCAACGTACCCTCTAATTTTCAGCCCCACTGGGTGAGGCTCCACCCCTTTGTCTTGTGACTCCGCCTCCCCATGCACTGGTTTCCATTGCGACCAGAACCTAATGTGATCACTGCACCAAGGAGGATGAGAGCTGCGCAGAGGAAAGTGGAGTTGTGTGCGCGCAGGCATGCGTGTGTGCCCAGCTTAGTGGGAACATTGCATCCAGGATATATTATTATTATTGAAGAACCATGAGCAAATCTTAAGACTCAGTAGTATGGCTTGCCTTGAATTGATTGACCTCAGGATCATGCTAATTTTGTTTTTTTGGATTTTCTGATGTAATTATTCCAACAAATCTTTGGAAGAGTACATAAAGATATCCATTGAATACCATGGATTTAGCTCATCTGTGTATATTTGCATATTTATTGGCTAAGCTGAAATGAATTGGTCTATCTTTTTTTTTAAACCAGAGCCACAGGTGCTGCATTGTTTCCCAAGCCAGTTCCCAGGGGTCAAACATTATAAACAGGGCCATTCTTTTTCAAAGTCGTGCACCACTGGACTCCTTTCTTTGTGCAAAAAACAGTATGGAGAGATTGTTCTGTGCTCTCTATTTGTTTGGAAAAAGGGATTCCAGATTTTCACCACAGTGAATTGGTCAGCATTAGGGAAAGGCTGTCAGGGAAGCTGTTTCAAAAGCACTCTTTTTTTTTTTACCAGATACAAGATCAGCATTTTTCTCAGTGCTAGAGAAAGACAGCTTTCCTGAAGCGCTAGCAACTGGGTAGTGCTGGGAATAAGAACTGAATCGGAAAACCTTATCGGTCACCAGTGACACATCCCTGATTTCAACCATTTTTTCATTAGGCAAATTCATTGAAGACAAATACAACAGAAGTTGTTCATTGTTCAGGGAAACACTCATGTATTTAGCTAGACACTCAAAAATCTTTAGCCTCCAAGCAGTGTTCTGTCAGTTAAAGGTAACTCTGAATTAAACTAAAAACTTGGGGTAGTGCTCTGGCCAGTCTGTGATTTATTGCTAACATGTGAAATCATTTTTTCCTGGTTTCTAAAGATTCATGCCACCCTTTTTGTGATATTCTACAATGACATTTTGAGGTTTGTGTGTGTGATACCTATACTTTTTATTCGCTTGACATAAATAGTGCCTCACTCCTTGTAATTTTTGTCAAATCTTCTGTCAAATATAGTTTGCTTGCTATCACTAGGTCTTTTCCTGGCTTTCATTCTGTAGTGGAAGTGGAATGATTTTGTGCTTACTGTTTTCTTGATTATTCTTAAAGGATAATTTAGAAAATAACATAACTCATCCACTTCTACCTAAAAATAGCGAAAATAACTGTAGTTATAGCAAAAAGAAAAGTTACTATCTGTATTTCCAGTTGCTTATTTTATTGCATTTTGTATTTTGCTTTAACTGACAGAACACCGGTCTCTGCAAGTAATATCTTCCAAGGCAAACAGTGCGAGCAAACACGGTGTTCGAAAACATCCGCGTAAGCCTGGGCAGAGAGCAATCAGGAGTTTGCACATGCTAAAATGGGCTGAGTGAGTCCAAGCTCAGCTAGCCATGCTACAACACTCCATCTTACAAGTCTGCCCACATAAAAACACCCTTGTACTCTCAGATATTACTGTGAAAAGATCAAGTGGGCTTTGTAGTCCTTAGACTTAACTTGCACCACTGGCTGGACTCCTTAAGTATGCTAGGCCGAGGCAGCACTCTCAGATGACCCTAAGACAAGTGTACTGTTCAGAAAACCAATTGAGTTTTATAATCTTTGATTTATTAAAGAATAAGCATGTTACTAGGTATCAAAATCAAACTAAGTTAAGGCAAGTAAATAAGCATTGTGTTAGTTATTTACAACTCTGTAGTGAGGCAAAGAAAATATAAAAAATAGAAAAGTGTTCAAAACCTTACAAAAATATAAAAAGCCATTAAAAAGAATAACAACAGTTCCATTCCAGTAATTCATTAGTACAGTAAAAACAAAATAATCCAAGTAGGTTATAAAAAGGCTATAGTCCTCAGTGATCCTGTAGAACAAAAATCCTGTACTAAAAAGAAAAATTCAGTAAAAGTCCCATTGTCCTTAGGAAGGAAAAATCCAGTAAATGTACCATTGTCCTTACAAAATTACAAGAGCATAGTCCATATGAAGTATTCCAGAAATAATAGTTCATAGAGAAATAATCCATAGTCCTTAGGAAAAAGCCCATAGGTCCAAGGGTAATCCAGTATAGTACAAAGATCAGTCCAAGTAAAGGTTAGTCCTGTGTGTCACGAATGACTGAAGAGTCGATCTTGAATGACAATGTCCATAGGCAAAAAGTTCCTTTTTCAAGAGTAACTGGCAAGGGCTTATCGCACCTTCCCACGATGTCATCCAATCAGAGTTCGTTACTAGGCAAACAGTCCTGTTGCACCACATGACTTCTTTCCCATAAACACCAGATGTTATTTGGGTACTGTGGTTTCGCAAAAAGTCACAACAATTCCCATCTAATCACACCGAGTCCTTTTCTCAGGCTATCAGAATAACATTCTCTCCGCTCGCCTAGAAAACAACCTGTTAGCATAGCATAGATACTTTATACAAAGAAACAAGATGGAACCTCTCTTGCTCATTTCTTAATTACAAACCCCATATTCCTTACGAGACTTTAACTCAAAAACCCATCTCATCACAAACAGTACTGACATACTGTATATCTGTTTTGTTCTCATTTGGCTTGTCTCCATTTACAAGTTGTTTCTAAATACAGGATTACTGCCGGAATGATCAGACAACAGTATCTGCAGCATTATTTTGTCTATAATTAATAAATAGCCCAGTTTTCAACCTCAGATAGATGGTGTTGCTGCTAACTAGGCTGATGATAAAAAAATTCTGAATCAGTTTCATATCCAACTCTTTTCTCCTCACCTTCTTAAAACACCATCAGAGAGGAAAAACATAAATCCTGAATACAGAGACGTTCTCTGATAGAGATAATTTGAGCCATGTGCATATGATTTTAAAGTTATGTCTGTGTGAGTGAGTGATCCAGTTAGTTTCCAGTTTTACTTTGCTGCCTTTTGTAATAACAAAGAATGAAATGTGTTAACTGTCATATGTTAGATCTTTACATATGTGTTAACTGTCATATGTTAGATCTTTACTTTTCTGTTCATGTATTTGTTTTCTACTTTCCTTGTGTCTCCCTTTCCATTAGGCTTCCTCTGCTCCTGGATCCCCTGTCTCCCTTTGTGTGCTCCTTCCTCCATTTCACCCACTTTTTGAGTTCCCTATTCCTTCTGATAGCTCCTACTTCCCCTCTTTCCTCCCTCCATTTCCTTTCTCCATCCTTTCTGTCTCCCTTTCCACATCACCAATTATAGTTCTCCCCTCAATCTTGCTTCCTCCCTCTGTTCCATCTCATTTTTTTCATTTGCTTCCACCTTTTCCGCCATATCTCCACTCGCCTTCTCTTTTTGTTCATTCACCCTTCTTACAGATGTCCCCCTCAGAGCTGGCCTCCTCTTCAAGTTACCCGCCATTTCCTCTCCCTACTCCTTCTCTACCTTCTGCTTCTCCACCTTCTTCTTCTTCAACTCCTCAAACACCTGGGCTTTTCAAAGAGCCTCCAGCTTCTGAACAGGAGTCTTTTCATGACTTCAGTGCTTATCATTCCCATAACCCTTTCTTCCTCCCTATACCTCCATCTGTCCAGTCATGCAGGAGATATCAAGCTCGACAGAAGAACAGTGACAGCGTTAAGTATTCTTGAAGACAGAAGATGCTTTGGTCTCCTTCAGTACTATGGCCCATAAATAAGTGTTAGCACTTCTACAGTAGAACAGGCTCAGGTGCTTCTCAAGCATTTGTGAATGTTGTTAAGGTCTTAGGGACAAGATTGTCTGGATTCACTGCTCCTTGTCCCATAGATGTCACAGAAAATGAAAGGGTTATGGGACCTGTGGACTTTTTATATTGATTTTATAGCATAGTGCCTTTATTCCCTTTTAAGATTGTAAGCTCTTTGGAGCATTGATACATCTTTTTGTTGTATGTGTGTATCCTGTATTTATGCATATCCCATATCAGTTCATTCAGTGTTCATATTTAATTGTCACTGGTGCTTTTAATTGCATATTTAATGTAAGAAATGAAAGGCAAACTGGCTTTTCTAGACTGTTTACGAAATGGACTCACTTCTGTAGATACAAGTACATTGCAAATGTAATTCTTTTCAAAGAGGTTTCTGATGTAAATGCTATGGTCCCAGGAAGTCTTGAAATGTCAGTTTAATGGTGATGCAAGCAAAATGGCACCTAGGAATGAAGAAGAGACACTAACCCATTTCTTCCCGTGCTGTTTTTCTGCTGGAAATATCTCCCAGCTGCTCCCTCATCACCCTGAAGTAGTTGTTCAGTGCAAACAGTACCCTTTGTGGGAAAATGGCATTAAAAACCGTGTGGGGGAGACTGTGTGTGTGTGGGGGGGGAAGGTATACTCTTATTTGTGTGCAGGTAGGGATCCCTGTCTGTGGTATTTTTCTGAAAAAGAAAATGGCCACCAGTTCTAAGGATTCTTAAACATTCCTAATGGAATGTGTAATTTGGTCCCTTGTGGCTAGAAACCTAGTTTCTAATCACAGAATAATAGAATCATAGAGTTGGAAGGGGCCTATAAGGCCATCAAGTTTGTATAAGGATCCAAATCAACTGACATGGTTGTCCAATTTTCTCTTGAATGCCTCCAGCATTGGAGCATTCACCACCTCATGAGGCAGTTGGTTACACTGTTGTACTGCTGTAACAGTTAGGAAGTTTTTCCTGACATTCAACCAAAATCTGGCTTCCTATTATGTGTCCTGCACTCTGGGATGATTGACAACAGATCCTGCCCCTCCTCTATATAGCTGTCTTTTAAGTATTTGAAAAGTGCTATCATATCTTTCCTCAGTCTTCTTTTTGCATGGTTAACATGCCCAGTTCTTTCACTCTTTCCTCATAGGGCTTGGTTACCAGTCCAGTCCTTACTGTTAATAATTGGGATCTTCCTACCTTATTTTATAATTTTGGGAACTATTACTTTAAAAGTTGGAATCTTGATAATGCTGAAAATAAAAAAAGATAATGTTTTCTAACAGATGTTTCGATTCTGAATTGGCTTAAATGGCAACATGTATTCTGCATTTCTCTGGCTATATAGCTGGTGATGCATGAAGATGATAGAGGTAAAATGCATTTTCAACCGAATAGTAATTGGTAAATGTTGGGTACAATATTTATTAATCTGACTTGTTTCCTCTATGATATCTTAAAATGCCAGAGAGGAAATACTGCCTTGCTGGTCTTTAATGATTTTTATGTCGCAGCCCATTTTTTAAACTTTGGTATTTTTCTTTGTCTAGGGCAATGCATTTTTAGAAAGTTACACTCCTTCAGTTTATGATCCTTTCTTCTTGAAGACTTGTACAGACATTTGGAAGGTAGAAGAACCAGAGTCTTCTGATCTTTCTGACTAGATGTGGAAGCTAACAATTGAACTGGTTTGTAGGAAAAACCTCTGTAGTGATGGGTCTGAGCTGAAGTTAAAAAATAACATAGCAAGCACTGTATTTTTCTATGTATAAGCTACTACTTCCCCCTAAAATTGTTGGACTAAAAATTGAAGGTCGTCTTATACATGGAGGAGAAAACCGTGCGGTTGCGAAACTGCCCATGTCTCTGCAAACAGGCTTCCTCCAATCATGAGCCTTATGTAAATGACATAAGCTGGTGCAGAGGAGATCGTGTAGTTAGTGCAACAGTGATCGGTAATGTTGGATCATTCTGAGCCTATAAAGATGTCAGAAAATAAAATAAGCGAATGTCTTACTCTGCAAAATTCAAACTGAATGTTATCAGTTATGCAAACAAGGCTGAAGGAAGTGACTTGCTCAGCAAAGTGTGATGCTATAATATCATAGTACAGTGGTGCCCCGCATGACGACACTGCTAAATGACGAATCCGCAGGACAGCGATGTTTCCTATGGGGAGGGTTTCATTTGAAATATGGTTAGGTCCGTGCTTCGCGAACCGTTTGTTCGCAAGATGAAGATTTTTCCAGCTGATCATCGGGTTCCTAAAATGGCTGCCCTGTGTTTTCCAGACCCATGCTTCACAGGGCAGCCATTTTAACAGCTGATCAGCACTTGGAAAATGGCTTCCCTATGGGCGATCTTCGCTGGACGACGAGGTAATTACCCCATTGGAACGCATTAAATGGGTTTCAATGCATTCCCATGAGGAAACTGTTTTTGCTGGATGATGTTTTCGCTTAACAGAGGTTTCAGGGGAGCCAATTATCATCGTGGTGTGGGGCACCACTGTACTGGTATGTAAATGTTGCCTAATTACTAAGTAAAATTTGTCCTCTGAAGATGCTGGCCACAGAGACTGACGAAACATTAGGAAGAACCACTTTCAGAACACGGCCAAGAAGCCCGAAAAACCCACAACAACCATAAAATTTGTCCCTTTCCAATGTTTAAAATATTGATTTCTGAATTTGGGGTTAGAAAATTGGGTGGTGTTTTATACATGGGGGTGTCTTATACACGGAAAAATACGGTTTATAAAATGGTGTGTCAGAGATCTGCGTATTGCCTGCCGAGTCATGTTAAAAAAGCAGACAGCTTTGCAAACCTGACTGTAACTTTCCTGCTCATGGTCCTCACATTTTCACTTCTACATGGTTTGTTTCCATGTTTCTTGGAGTCCTGTGTGATTGTGGACACTGAACTCCTTTCCTTGTTTTGATGGTACCTGTACCACATCTACATCCACATGCACATACTCATATCCATTTTTCTTTTTCTCATATTAATTCACAATACTACTTGTTCACTCCTTTATTTCCTTCCTTCCTTCCCACCCTCCTTTCCATTTCGCACTTTGTTTTGCCCTTGTTGCCACCATGTAGCAAATAGGCTTTGAAATAAATGACTTTTGTTTCATTTCGTTAGTCGTTTAGTCGTGTCCGACTCTTCGTGACCCCATGGACAAGAGCAGGCCAGGCCCTCCTATCTTTCACTGCCTCC